TTTGTCATTCTGGAGTGCTGGTGACATATCCTCACAACCATTTCTACACAAACAGAGCAAATGATCTACCTTTCTCCCTGCTCCCCGCTCCTCCCTTCTCCAAGCTAATAGATGGACAGCTGCTGGAGACTGCTCGGTGCCTTGTGATCTTTGTGATGCCTTCTGTACTCAACAGGGAGGTCAGGGAAGCAGAGCTGAGAGAGTTGGAGCTGTTCGGATACATGATCGCTGCTCCGTCCAAATATTAGTTTCGTTTTGGATTTTTCATTATTTTGTTTTTCAGGATTCTGGCGACTCGCAAAAAAAAAAAAACCCAAGACCTGCCGACCCATCCGATCCCGATGAACACTGCCGTATAATGACAGCTCTGACCCGAATGTCAACAAAGGGGCGGAGTGAGTTGTGCCATCACAGGACACTCCCCCCCTTTGTTTACATTCGAGAGCAGAACTGTCATAATACTAACAACAACAACTCTGTTCCCAAAATAACATTCAGGAGCAGAGTTGTTGTTATTATTAATCAGGATCGGAACGGGTCGGCTGTTTTTTTTTTTTCTTTTGGTGCGTTTGTGGTCGTCATTCATCATGAATGACTTGGGTCTACATCGCTGGAGGACGTGATTGACCTGTCGATTACATTGATGGACATTTTTTTTTTAAATAAAGGAATTGTCAAAAACGTTTGCTGTTTTTTTTTTTTTTTCAAATAAAGTGCTTTGTTTATGGTGTAGTATGTTTATTTACAATTTGACTTTTTGTATTTGGTGAATGAGTACGGGGGATGGTGGCATCTGGGTGCCCCCTTTAGGAAATATGAAGAAGTTTGGATTAATCTACAAACACCAAGACACAGTAATGCAAGCTACTCCCTTCCCCCAGTCTCCCCTCTCTTCCCTCTTCCCTTCTCCAATCTGGTAAATGAACTGCTGCTAGAGACTGTGCTCTGTTCCTTGTGATCTTGTAATGGACATGAAGTTCAGGGAAGCCGAGATGAGAGAGATAGGGGTTGATTTACTAACCTTATAAACACACCAGGAACATGTATACACCTCTGTAGTGTGTTCCCTCCCAGCATGATCTATGGGTGGAATCTAAACACCTTTGTAGTGTGTACACACCCAGCAGGTGTGTTGTGCAAAGCCTTGCATGAATTGCAAGGTGATGTTGTGTAAATTAGTTCTACATTGTGTTGCTTGCGTTGATGAATGCAGGAATGTAAATGCATGAGCTAACCATTTTTGTCTAAACTGTGAAGCAGCATTATATATGCATCATGTGCATGATTTTTCCATATATGGCATTAGTGGAAATATGCTTTTAGAGACTTTTTGGTTGATAAATACGTTTTGCTGTGTGAAAATCACACGCACCTGGTGCGTGCGTGTGTTTAGGTTAGTAAATCACCCCC